CCTAGGTTTCAGGTTCAATTCCTGATCAGGGCACATAAAGAAGGCAACCGATCAATGTTTATCTCCGACATCATGTTTCTCTCTCTGTCACCCTGTTCCTCTAAAATCAATCAACATATCCTCAAGTGAGATCATTTTTATAAAAAAAGAATGTCATGTAAGTGGAATCAAGTTACTATGTAACTGTTTGAGACTGTCTTCTTTCATGCAGCATGGTGCCTTTGAGCTTTACCCAAGATGGTTTGTGTGTACATAGTTTGTTCCTTTTTATTAATGAGTAGTATTCTGTTGTATGAAACTAGTGCACAATTTGTTTATTACTTCACCCACTGAAGAGCATTTGGGTTGTTTCCGGTTTGGGGCCTCATACAAACAAAGCTCTATGAACATTCATGTTCAGGTTTTTTTGAACCTATGAGTTCATTTCTCTTGGGTAAACACCCAGGAGTGGATTGCTGGGTCATACAGTAAGTGTGTGTTTCACTTTCTAAGAGATTGCCAAATCATTTTTTGAAGGGGCTGTACCATTTTTGCCTCCCCATCAACAACATAAGAGGGTCCCAGTTGCTCAGCATCCTTGCTAATACTCGATACTGTCAGGATCTTTAAATTTTATTTTAAAATTTGCATTTCCCATCCCTGGCCATGTAGCTCAGTTGGTTACAGCATCATCCTGATATGCCAAAATTGAGGGTTTGGTCTCTAGTTAGGGCACATGCAAGAAGCAATGAATGCATCAATAAGTGGAACAACAAATCGATGTTTCTGTCTCTGTCTCTGTCTCTCCCTCCCCTCCCCTCCCTCCCTCCTTCCCTTCATCTCTCTCCCTCTAAAAATCAATGAATAATAAAATCTGTATTATCCCAATGCCTCATGATGCTCAGCCACATTCATTTTACATACACGGCGTCATACAGAGTCTTCCATCACTTTGTGTCCCTAAGACTGTCTTATATTGTTGTCCTTTGTGAGTCTTCTGCTGCTTAATATTTTTTTATGAGACTATACTAAGGCACATTTTTCCATTTTTCCTTCGATGGGTACTTGTGTAATTTCCAGATTTGTGCCATCAAAAACTGTGTGTGTGTGTGTGTGTGTGTGTGTGTGTCCTGGTTATACAAGATCAAGAATTTCCTAGGTTATATGCCTAAGAGAAGAATTCCTGGGTCATAGGATATTCCAGATAGTGCTAAATTGTTTCCCAAAGGGGTGGGGTCAGCCGTTCTTTCAGTTAATCCATTGCACAGGTGAGAGGAATAAAGTTCCGGGTGCATGTACAGATAGTGTGTACATAAGCGATATTAATGCTAGATAGTGCTTAAATAAGATAAATGTCACCTTGGACTGAATCTATCAGCAAAGCTATTAGAAATTTATTCCTTGGGAGTGGGAGGAGTGATACAGGAGCCACCCAAGTCTCTGGGATCAAGGAACAGATGTACTAAGCGTGGTGTGATTGGAAGGAATGATAAGTAGAGAGATATGTAACAGGGAGAAGTTACAGAGCAAAATGTGCTCACTAATAAAGATAGAGGAGGAGGTGGAGGGCGTGCATCTGTACTGTAACCTCAATAATAAAACCTCATATGCTATAATAAGTTCTGAGAATCAGGTAATATAGCAGGAAATGCATCTTCCCAAGGGCAGGAACACCCATTTCATTTATTCAAGTAGCATTGACACATGAAGTTTCAACTCCAGGAAGATGGACAGGGAGAGAAAGAGACAAATCCAACATCTTCAAGCCCTCAAAACATTTCTAACTAGTAGGAAAGGCAAAATGGAAGAGCAGGGAGGTGAATCAAGATGCAGCAAGAGCCATCCACCAAAAATAAGGTGCACCGGCAATGCCAAGGAGTAGGGAAGTAGCAAGAAGCAAGAGAATCATTAAGTAGGAATCAAGGAGAACTAAAAAGACTGATTATTAGGAAAGACTTGATCTCTTTAACCTTCAGAAGAAGGTTCTCTGGGAACGGCAGTCCCCAGTCATACACTGTGGAGTATCATATAGCAAGGGATAACAACAAATTACTGATAGATGCAACCACCTGGATGAATCTCAAAAATACTGTGTGGATTAAAAAAAAAAAGGAGACACAAAGAGTGCTGGAACCTACAGATTGACTCTGTGGGGACAGAAATCAGAGTCTGCGTGTCTCTGGGGAGTGATGTGCTAGTTGGTCTTGGTTCACAGGTTCCAATTGTTAACAGTCTTTCTAATTCCATGATAATCGGTTGTGGTGAAAACATTTATACCACTAAAATAGTGTAATGTTACAAATTACAGTTCATTCTCTCTCTCTCCCTCACTCTCTTTCTCGAAAGTCCCCTGTTAAACATTTACCAGCACACTGCAGCTAGGTGGGGCAAGGGGAATTACTGAATAGGGCACTGAAGAAACTCTGGAGTGATGTAAATGTTCTTCCCCTTGTTTCCAAGCTCAAGAAATTGAACACTCAAGTACTGTGTATTTATTATATGTAGGCTATAGCCCAATAAAACGAGTATATGTGCCCTGGCTGGATGGCTCAGTTGGTTGGAGCATCATCCCGTACACCTAAAGGTTGTGGGTTTGATTCTGGTCAGGGCACATACCTAGGGTGCAGGTTCCATCCTGGTCAGTGCACACACAGGAGGCAATGAACTGGTGTTTCTCTCTCACATTGCTCTCTCTCTCTCTCCCTCTCTCTCTCTCTCAACATATCCTCAGGTGAGGATTTAAAACTAAATAAAATTTATATAATAAAAATAAAAAGACTATATGCATTTATAGCCTACAATGAAATAGGCTGGAGAAATCAATTTGTACAGCAGAAGGAAGGTGAAAATGCCCAGAGCTGGGAAAGGTTGTGTCATTATCTGAAGCCAGCTGAGTCTTCTCCTGAGTTTTGGGTGCGTGGAAACAGTGAGAGGCAAAACTAAAAAGTCTTGGATTATAGAAGCAAAGGAATAGGCATGTCTGGGAGCAGTTTTAATTAGGAAGAGCTATGGTTACATCTTTGCATTTTTACAGCATTGTCACATTTTGCAACTGAGTATATGTATATTGTATATCTGTTTTTTAAACATCGTATCTCTGGTTGCCCAGCACAGTATCTAGCACATAAAGGACACTGCAAATTAATTGTTAAAAGAATAACTGAGGGGCAGCTGGACAGGAGCGAGCGGGCTGAGCCAGGGAGACCAGGGGACCTGGGCTGGACCCTAGAAGAGAGTGTTGACTGAGTTTTTTCCTTTTGTTTCTTCCCATGTGGTTCCCAAAGATACAACCCACCATAAAAATGTACACTGATGATAGAGATGTGACAAAAAGAAAAGTAATGAAGTCAATTTTACATAAAGTCAACTTTTTCCCATTTAAATGACTGTCCTTTATTCTGTGCCATGAACTTCATTCTTTAAAAAAAATTAGTGTTAAAATAACCTTTCTCATGATATGGTGCAGCCACTGTGGAAAACAGTATAGTGGTTCCTTTAAAAATTAAACACAGCCCTGGCTGGCGTAGCTCAGTGGATTGAGCGCAGGCTGGGAACCAAAGTGTCCCAGGTTCGATTCCCAGCTAGGGTACATTCCTGGGTTGCAGGCCATAACCCCCAGCAACCGCACATTGATGTTTCTCCCTCTCTCTTTCTCCCTCTCTCTCTCTCTCTCTCTCTCTCCCTTCCTTCCCTCCCAAAAAAAATAAATAAAATCTTAAAAAAAAAAAGAAAAATTAAACACAGAATTATCATATGATCCAGCAATTCCATTTCCAGAGAGACACCCAGGTGAATTGAAAGCAGGGATTTGAACAGACATTTGTACACTCATGTTCATAGCATTATTCACAATAGCCCAAAGGTGAGAAAACTGAACAGATCTATCTGTTACAGTACAGGTCTACCAAAGGATGAATGAATCAACAGAATGGGTTCCATCCATTCAATGGAATACCATTCAGTCTTAAAAAGGAAGGAAACTCTGACACCTGCTAGTACCCTGTGGATGAACCTTGAGGACATTATGCTGAGTGAAATAAACCAGTCACAACAGGACGGATACTGGGTGATTCCAGTTTTACGAAGTCCCTAAAAGAGTTAGATTCATAGAGACAGAAAGTAGATGGTGAGTGCCAGGGGCTGGGGGCAGTGTGTTTAATGGGGGCAGAGTTGCAGTTTGGGAAGATGGAAAAGTTCTGGAGGCTGATGATGGCGATGTTTGCACAACAATGTGAATGCGCTTAATGCCACTGAATTGTACCTTTAAAATGACTTAAAATGGCCCTGGCTGGTGTAGCTAGGTGGACTGAGCACGGGCTGCAAACCAAAGGGTCTCTAGTTCGATTCCCAGTCAGGGCACATGCCTGGGTTGCAGGCCATGTCCTTAGTACTGAGCGTGCAAGAGCCAACGACACATTGAGATTTCTCTCCCTCTTTCTCCTTCTCTTCTCCTGTCTCTAAAAATGAATAAATAAAAATCTTTTAAAACTTATTTAAAATGGTTAATTTTATGTTACGTATTTTATCACAAAAAATGTTTTAAAAACACCTGCCACAAATGAATGGGATTAATTATGATTTGGTGGGCGTTGTGTGTATGTGCCCATAATTGGCCCAAAAAGACTTCGGTTGACTCTGGGTCTCCCACAACTTGTGGACATTTTCGTGTGCTCCTGTAGTCCTGACCCGACACCCACAAGGACGTGAGAGGGTCGGACCTCTACCCTACTCACCTGCTCGAGCTCTTCGCCCGCCACCGCTGCCTTTTAACCTTGCCTTCACCTGTGGTCCTCCGCCCCGCCCAGGCGCACGCGCACAGGGCGGTGGGAGGCTAGCGAGCTCGCACTTTCCCGGCACCGCCTCGGTAGGTCTCCTCCCCTTTTCCCCTCGGGGAGGCGGCCTCGCGCAAGTACTGCTGAGCCGGGGCGAAGGACGGGGCGGGCCCTGTGTGGCGCCTGGCCTCGGCTCTCGCGAGAAGGCGGTCCGCGATCTCATCGCTCCCGTTCCCCACGGTCCGCCTCCCGGGCTCCGCTGCAGCGTCAGCCTCGGTCGGGCCTCGGCGCCGGCTGCGGCTCGTGGGCCTCAGCCCCAGCGCCGCTTGGTGCCCGTGGGCCCTCGTCTGCAACGCCTCGGCCCTCGCTTCCTCGACGCCGGCCTAGCCCACGGCTTCAGCTCCCGGATCCTGTCGGCGCCGCCCGCTCCCGGCCCGCCCCCTATGGGCCCCGGCTAGAGGCGCCGCTGCCGCCGGCTCGCGGAGCCCCGATGCTGGCCCGGAGGAAGCCGGTGCTGCCGGCGCTCACCATCAACCCCGCCATCGCCGAGGGCCCGTCCCCCACCAGCGAGGGCGCCTCCGAGTGAGTGAGCCAGGGCGGGTGAGGACGGGCGGGGGGGGCGGATCCCCTTTGGTTGTGAGGTGGGGTAGAGAGGGTCCGCGAGAAGAGAGGATGGGGTGGGTGGGAGGGGTGGAGTCCTTGAGTGATGAAGTCCGTGGGGAGGGAGTCTTGGAAGTGAGGTCGCAGTGAGGGGAGGTTCCTGAGGGGAAAAGTGGGGGCGAAGGGCCCTAAATAGTGAAATTTTGGTAAGGGGGTCCCTAGTAGTGAATGGGGGTGAAATGAGGTCCCTGCAGGAAAAAAGATGGGGTGTGGGGCCTCTGAGCAGTGAGAATGGAGTTGCGTGTCCCTGAATAGTGAATTCGGGGTAAGCGGCTGGGAGAAGGTGGGTCAGGCGGTCCCTAGTAGTGAAATCAAAGGCCGGGAGTCCCTGAACGGTGAGGTGGAGGGAGGGGGTCCTTGCTTTCTCAGGGCAGGGTAAGTGAGGTCCCTGGGGGTGAGGAAGTCCATACTAGATGAAGGGAAAGGTTTGCCTGAGAGACGAGGATGTGGGAGGGATCCCTGAGGGGTGGGGTGGGGGAGCTCTTTGAAGGAATTTGGGGGGAAGGAAGCCTGAGAAGATCCTGCTAGTTGGGGGCGGGGGAGAAGCCCCTGAAGCTGGGGAGAGTGGTGAGGAGGCCAGGAGGCCTGGGGAAGCAGGGAGTGAGGAAAATTTGGGGGATAGGGATGTAAAGGGAAATAGGAGGCACAGAGGAAAGAAATGGGGGGCCTGCTGGGATCCCGGACAGCAGATAAGCAGAGATTCTGGATTGAATAATTCAGCAAAGCTTCCAGGGGCTGGAGCAGTGCAAGAGATTTGAGGGTCCGAGGCATTTGAGGGAGACTGGAGGATCTGTGGGGAAAGGGGCGGAGAAAGGAGCATCTCAGGGTGGTGAGGTTACAGGACAACAGAATCTCACTGTGTCAGGGAAAGCGAGGTCATGCCAGGGTGACTGCCTGGCCCCAGAAATCCCTAGAGCCTCCCCAGTCCTGTCCTGCATGGTGGAGCAGAGCAGGACAGTCCCAGAGGCCCCTGGCCGGGGTCCCTCTGCCGTATTTGTGGTGTGACCACCAGGAGAACTGGCTGGGAAGGGTGAATGGTGTGTGTTTAGTGCCTCCCTTGGGACTTGGCCCTTCACAGCCTGGGTAAGGGTTAGGAGGTGAGCCTTGATGTGCGTATTGACGTCTTTCTCTGTCTCCAAGCACGTAACTCAATGTGGGGACATGTTCCTTATGTTCAAAAGTCTGCTCTTCCTCTTACGAGGTAGCTCTTTCTTCATATTCTCTTCTATCTGGTGTGTGATTTCCATCCCTTTAAGAATTTCTGTAGTGGAGGAAGCCAGCCGTTGGGATTCCAGGGTTTTTTATAACCACAGTTGACTTGCCATTAAATTTAAAATGGATTAATCAGCTGACTTCAGAATGCATTTTAGATGTCATAGGGCAGATCTTCCAGAGTCTGGCCTCAAAAGTTGCCTTTCAACCCTCCAGTGAACGGAGCTGTCACATCCATTCATTCTTCGCCTTCCCTCTTCCATCCATCAGTGTCCTCATTCCTTTTTCATCAAGGTCTCAGTTCAGGCATCAGGGAATACCTACTAGGTCCTCGAACTTGGCTCAGGGGGACACTGTGAGGAGCAGGGGCTATGAGCACATGCTGTGCAATCAGGGAGGATACAGGTTTGATTCCAGGCACTGCCACTTCCTTGTACTGTGACCCTCGGGCTAGTTACTTAACCTCTCTGAGCCTATTCCCATATATGTGGTCTGGGTCTACAAGAGATCCACCTCCTAGGAGGATCCTGAGAATTAAACAAGATGGTGTGATGGTATTTACAAAGCTCTGGTACTCACTCAGGAAATGACACCCACCCACCGCCTCTCAGCCACCTCTTTGCAGTACCAGCTCAGGTGACATTGCCCAGTGACAGGTCATCTCGTTCCTGGCCTGTGTGCCCCTTTCCTTGAACCTCTTTAAATTGTAGGCAAGTTACAGTCACGTTAGGATTGGAAAGTTCCTGAGAGAACACCCAGGCTCCCCCTTCAATCTCTTGCTCAGGTCCCCTGTATGAGATCTTCCCTGGGTGGGCAGTCAACCTTAGCTTAGACACCCTCAGGAGTTGGTGGCCGAGGACTGTCCCAGGTGGCCCATTTTCCTGTAGAGACTTTTCTCAGAGCTGTACTCCCTCTCCAGCACAGTAGCCACTAAAATGTGGCTTGTCCAAATTCAAGGCAGCTATAAGTATAACATACATCCTGAATTTCAAAGACCTGATATGAAAAAAAGTAGTAAATATATGTCATTTGTTTATATTTATTGCATATGGAAAATTATTATTATATTTTTGATGGGTTAAATCAAATGTATTAAAATAATTTCACTTGATGTATATTTTTTTAACGTGGCTGTAAATTTTAAATTGCACACATAGCATACATTCTAGCTTTTGGACAGCACTGGATTAGTTCTTATGTTCATTGAGCAGAAGTCTACCTGCTTGTTTCAGGGAGCTGCTTTTTACTCCAGGATTTGGCTCAAACTCAAGACACTAGTGAAAATAGCTGATTGTTGAAATTTCCTTTCAGAATTCCTTGAATCACTCAGTAAAGTGCCCAGTGTACATGTGGGTTTTTAAATAACTAGGCCCAGGAATGCGTGTGTGTGAATGCCTGATGTTTACAGCAGTGCTCAGGGTATAATAAGAGTGTGCTGGTTGCGTATAATGCTCTGGAACTGTCTACACTGTTTAAATCAGGCCCCTCTTTTTCCCCTCTAGAGTCCATGTGTAATTCATGTAAATTACAACTTCTACCTTCTGCCCATTGGTTCTTGCTCTTTGCTCTGAGACCACTGAAAATGAGGTTGCTTTTCCTGAGGGGGGGGGCAAAGGGAGGAAAATTGGGGCAACTGTAATAGCACAAACAATAATATACAATTTTTTAAAAATGAGTTTGCCCTCTTATCCTCATGAAGACAGGTGTCCTGGCCTGGGCCTTCACTTACCTGATGCCCATTCGTTTTTCCCCGGTTCCATGTCTCCTTCCAGTGTGGTCGGGAGCCTTGCATCAGGAAGGAAGGCTCCTCAGTCTGGTACCAGTGCCATTGAACCAGAGCTGGTCCTCCAGGATCTAAGGTTTCCTAACCTTTGCGAGCAGGGAGAGAGGTGGTATCCTCAGTTCTTGGGGAGTCAGCCTTCTCCTCTGGGCAGCTGTGTGCCTGCAGGTGGTCTTTCTTTTCTGCTAGATCATCAGCCCCTCAAGCCCAAGAATCAAGTTTGATTCATCTCTGCATCCTCCTGGCTGCAAACCCAGGGAGGGCTTGGCACTCAGTGATCACATGGTAGCCTCAGCTCAGGTTGAGTCATTTCAATAACTCATACACTCTTCACTAACCCTTGTCCTTGGGGTCTCTGCAGAGCAAACTTGGTGGACCTCCAGAAGAAGCTAGAGGAGCTAGAGCTTGATGAGCAGCAGAAGAAGCGGCTAGAAGCCTTCCTCACCCAGAAGGCCAAGGTTGGGGAGCTCAAGGATGATGACTTCGAAAGGATCTCAGAGCTGGGAGCCGGGAATGGCGGGGTTGTCACCAAGGTCCAGCACAGACCTTCAGGCCTCATCATGGCAAGAAAGGTGAGAGGTGGCCAGTGGCAAAGCAGGCATTCTGTCCCCATGCTCTGTGGGCGGCATGTGGTGGGGGCAGGTCCCCCTAGAAACGGGAGAGCAGTTTGAAAGGTACCAGCCTCTGCCTTCTGACTGGCTCCTGGGCTCAGAAGCCCTCCCATCAGCGGTGGGTTCTCGTTCCGGAAAATGAGCTTGGCTTCCAGTTAGAATGTGGCAATGCCGGCTTGCCCAAGCAGCTCTTCCCTTCCATCACTGACTTCTGTCTTTGGGGACGGCTTAAATTCAGATTCCCAGAAAGTGAGTGGAGTTTTCGGAAAGAAGGGAGGACATTCAAGTCCCCTTAGAACTGGTGTCACCCTGAATTCACAACCAGGAGAAAGGACTGCAGGCCCAGGACAGGGCCTTCGCTGCGATGGTCCCTGGGCAGTGGGGTAACTAAACCACCTGTACGAGTCAGAGTTCTGCAGATAAGCAGGACCACAAGGGTGTGGAGATGGGGTGGGGGGAGGCATTTTAAGGGACTGGCTTGTTTGATCATGGCAAGTGTGAAATGTGCAGGGCAGGTCAGCAGGCTGGAGACCCAGGAAAGAGCTGTTGTTGCAGCTCAAGTCTGAAGGCCACTGGAGGCAGAATGACCTCTGTCTTTGAGCCTTGGACTGATTGGATGAGGCTGCCCACTTATAGGAGAGTCACCTGCTTTTCTTGGATCCTTAGGATTTCCACATTAAAATACATCTAAAAAAAATACCTTCCCAGTGACATCTAGACTTGTGTTTGACCAGACAGCTGGATACTGGGGACACATTAAGTTAACCATCAACCTACTCTTTAGTACAAACCTTGGCTCTGAGAAGTCCCAAGCCTCCCTCATCTGGGTGCCCAATGCAATGTCCCACTAAACATGCGGGAATAACTCCTGGGAGATGTAGGGAGTGAGAAGAGGAGGGTGTGACCTTCTGGGGACATAGACTCCTAAACACATAACTGAGGGAACTTCGTGTTGATAAATTGCTTAGTTCGTACAGTCATGTTCTTTTAGACTTAGAAAGCCACCTCTTCCTGGAAGCCCACTGTCCCATCATTTCCCAATTGTATTCTCAGAAACCTGACCACCCTAGGCCCAGTGGATCAGCACAGGTTCCGCCTTTCCTGGGAATGATGTGCTTGGTTTCCATTGAGATTTAACTCTGTAGCTATTTCTCCTGCCTCTAGAGTACTGCCCTCCCTCCCGAAACCTATTTCTGTCCCCTTAGTGCAGGCAGCCTTTTCAAAACCAGAGCAGCCCCAGAAGTCTCTGGTCTGCCACTGCCTGAAGCACCAGGAATAAAAGGCAGATGTGAGGTTCTGACTGTGGTGGGAAGGGGGGACTTGAGAAGAGTTCTGGTCAGAGTTTATATTAGGGACCCAGGGGTTCTGTTGGCCCAGCTGAGGTGTATCAGGCATCCCAGTGTGCCTTGTATAAATGTGAGCCCAGCAGTCTGTCTACAGCTTTATGACAGCCTGCAAAGTAAGACTTGGGAGTTTAAAATGGAGACAGACGAGTTCTGCAGTTGAGGGAGCAGTGCTGTCCCAATGCCAGCTTCTGGTATGGCCCTTTAGTCTCGGAAGATGTCGCTGTTGGGGGGAGCTGAGTGAAGAGCACATGAGACTGCTGTTTTTGCAATTTTCCTGTGCTGCTTTAATTCTTTCAAAATAAACTTCTTTTTAAGGGTCCAAAAAATGGGGGTCAGGACCTCAGGTTTTGTTCCCAATAGACTTTAACCTCCTCCTCCCAGCACAGGGTCAGAGCAGTGTGGGTTGTTGCAGGCGTTTGGCGAATACATTGAACAAGAAGGCTGTCTCGACGATTGGTGGTTCTGGGCTGTAACTCCCTGTGGCCCACGAGCCCTGGACTGGTCTCTCGGGGTCAGAGGCTCCTTTTAACCCATCTGGAGTGCCAGTCCACTTGGGAGGTCTGTTGCTTTTATTCAGCTGAGGGTACATGGCAAAACTGATGAGACAAAATGGTTTTTTTAGAAACAGTGACCTCAGTCTTTTCTCTGCTATCCTGGTTGGAATTACGAATTTCCCAGGAAGACTGGGATGAATTCCACGCATTATGAGTGTGTAGGATTATCAGATCTCCAAAGGTGGCCTGCCCACAGGTGTGAGGGTGAAGGCTGGGTGGAGCTCCTGGACGCCCATACCACTCCTGCTCTGTGGGCCAGCGTCCCTCCAGTCCCTGCAATTGGCAAAGGATCATCCTAACCAGTAGGGCGGGCTGGGGAAGCAGCAAGACCAGTTCGGTAAGGCCCTAAGAAAACCGGCCTATTTCTACAGTCAGGCTTGTTCATGAATGTTTTCTGTACTCAGCACAGCTCTCCTACTCGTGCGTCCTTCCGAGGGCCCTAGGAACAAAACCTCTGTGTGATGACTTGGGCCAGGGGAGATCTTCAAAGAGTTTCACATGTTTGTTACACATGCATGGCTCCCTTGACGACCCCGCCCTCTACTTAGAGCAGAGGAATGTGCACTTGCTTCTATAATGAAGGTCATGTGACCCACCCAAGGCCACATAATAATACTAGCTACCATCTTTCAAGTGATTGCTCTGTGTCAAAGCCAGCTCTAGAACCTTGACACGTGTTCTCATGTAAATGGAGCAACCAAATAAATAAGTGGAGCAACCGCTTCATTTTACAGGTGAGAAAACTAAAGTTGGGTTGGGTCTTACCTGAATTGGGTTTGAACCTTTGTGGCTGACCCTGACCCTGTGGAAGCTGTCAGGGCTTTGCCTCCAGAATCACTGTCTCTCTTGATGGGGGGCTAGTTTGTACCCCCCATCCCTGATCCTAGCTCAGATCTCCTATCCTGCTGTAGAAACTGCCTTAAACTCCTAGACAAGCTTGGTGTTTGGTTTGAATTCCCAGCACCATTCTGATCCTGGAACGGTGCGGTGAAAGGGCATAGGCTCTGGCCATCTGTGAACTCAGGCCCAATCCTGACCTGACTGCTCACCAGCTGTGTGTCCCTGGGAACGAAATTCAATGTCTCAGAACCTGAACTTGCTCATCAGTGCAGGGAGGGCAGTTACTACCCCCACCCCTCACCCCCGGGGTTATCATCAGGGCAGATTGTAAGCACATGTGCTCAGAAACATGCCCCTATCTTCCCATTCCTACTCCTAGGGGTGGCTCCTGTTCGATCCAGAAGCTTTGCTTTACAAGCCCCACATATGATGGACCCAGTGAAATAGATCACATAGCAACAGCCCCTATGTTCCCTCTTTACCACATCTTTCCCAAAAGCCTCTAACTTCCTGGGGTCTTGTTTCACATTCGCCCAACTCCAGGCTTCCAGGACCTCTGGGATCCCATCCAGTTATGCCTGGTTTCATCCACCCCTTCCTCTTCTCCTTTAAAAGCCTGGTGGATTCTCGCTCCCCTGCTACTGATTCATCTCTGGCTCCTTTCAAGTTCTTGGTCGAGAACGGTTACTGAGCCCCTGAAATGCAGTTTCATTTGAATCAAGGCATGCTATATGTGTGCCAAAAAAACCCACAACTCATTAATATTTTTATGTTGATTGCAGATCATTATTTTTTTGATATGTTGCATTGAGTTAAAAGACTTGAAAACTTCATTTCACCTGTTTCTTTTTACTTTATTAATATGGCAACTAAAGGATTTTAAAATTACATATGTGGCTCATGGTGTATTTCTGTCGGACAGCACAGGTCTCCATCACCCTGCATTGCCCATCCATCAGCCTCCCACCTTCCACGCAAAACATCAAAGCTTCATTTTCAGATCCAGCATCTCATCTTTTCAAAGCATGTGTGCATACACATGTCAGGCATCTCGCAGGTGCAGTCTCACTGAAGGAGAGAGCGTGCTGGAGTTCTCGTGTGATTGCTGCCCTGGGGGTGGCCATGGGGAGTGTGCAGTGTCCCAGGGAGTATAGCCAGGGCTGGGCTCTGCGGACTGGATTGGGTCGAGAAGCAAGTGCCTGAGGGGCCCTGAGAGCTGGAGGGCCCCAGTTAAGAAGTCACTGCCTGGGTGTGGCCGGGCCACCAGATACCCTACTTCTAGGACCTGCCATAGTTCTCAAGGTTGCAAGGGTCATTGGCATGGATCTATGAGCAGGTGCACCTCTCCACACACACCCTGTGCTGCCCCTGCCCCCGAACTCAATACACACCCCTTTATGCCCTCAAACAGCCAACTCTTTGTCCCTCTTTCTGGAGTGCTGGCCCCTGAGTCATCTGAGTCCTGGGCTATCTCTCCATGATTCTGCCATTGGGGCACCTCCACCATAACTGGTCTTGTGTCATCTGCTTCTCCTACTTCCTACTGACATGTCTCTGAACAGGGTCATCTCTGTCATCTGTCTCCTCATCGCTGACCCTTGTAACCAACTCTATGTAAATGTCTGTTGAGTTGATGGCAGTCATTTTCAGATACCTGTGATGGGCTCTGCCTCTCTGATTAAAGGGTATAAATCACCCCTTTTTCTCATCACAATGGCCAATACATCGAGGATTCGAAGAAGCCAGGACCTGGACCCACAGCCTTCACTCTGTTTTGCTGGGCAGTGGATCTTGGCTTGCTTAGGGTTTGCAGTTAAGTGCTACTCTTGGCATTTTGTCCACTGCCTTTTCTGAGTGTCTCCAGATGGTCCTTTGATTTCTCACCTTTTGAGATGTAATGAATTTGGTGACAGTCGTGGCTGGGAGCTTGAACTCAAGTGGAAGGGCAGCTAGGAACCTCGGGAAGTGCCCAGAGTCTCTCTCTGCTTCTGTCTCTAGCCTGGAGGTGGGAAGGGCTCCAGAGAAACCCACCCTTGAATGAGGGGCTGAGCAGAGGTGAAGTAGTCCCCTGCCATTCCATTCCCTGGGCTGGGTCCTAGGAAAGGCTAGCCCTTCAAAAGATTTGGTGGGAAGAAAGCTCCTCGGAACAGAGCTTCCCCTGGACCAGCTGAAAAATGTTTGCTCTGTTGATGGTTTGTTTGTTGTTTGCTTTTAATAGTTTTATTGAGATATAATTCACTTACTAGAACATTTACCCTTTTAGAGTATATAATTCAGTGTTTTTAGTATATTCACAGCATTGCACATCCATCACCAGGACCAATTTTAGAACATTTCTATCACCCCCAGAGAAGCCCCAGCCCCTGGCAACTGTAAATCCACTTCCTGTCCCTGTATCTGCCTGTTCTGGACAATTCATATAAGTGGAATTATGCTCTGTGGTCTTCTGTGTCTGGCTTCTCTCACTGAGCATGTTTTCAGGGTCCATCCACATTGTAGCAAGTGTCCATGCTTCTCCTTTTCAGGGTTGAGTAATATTCCATTGCCTAGATGGACCACATTTCATTTGTTCATTCACCAGTTGGTGGACACTTGTATTGCTTCCATATATTAGCAATTGTGAATCACTGCTATGAACACATACAAGTGTGTGCATGGATGTGTGCTTTCAGTTCTCCTGGGTAGATAGATACCTGTAAGTGGATTGGTGATTGATCTTTAATGCTGTTACGAGCACCTCAAGGGCAGAGAGCCGAAGTGCCCCCTCTCCCTCCCTAGTGCCCCTCAGCAGCCTGCTCCTGAACCTGCTCCTCATTTCCTTGCAGCTGATTCACTTGGAGATCAAGCCGGCCATCCGGAACCAGATCATCCGTGAGCTGCAGGTGCTGCACGAGTGTAACTCCCCGTACATCGTGGGCTTCTACGGGGCCTTCTACAGTGACGGGGAGATTAGCATCTGCATGGAGCACATGGTGAGTGCAACGGGGCACCCTGCACCAGGGCCCAGCCACTGTCCCTAGAGCCACCTGGGCTTACAGCCAGGGAGATACGACAGGATAAAGGGTTCACATAGAATGAGAAGGTGGCCTGTGAAAGGAGGTCTCCTGCCTGTGTTTGACAGGGTCCTGTCCTTAGAGACCACAGTGCACCTCTTTCCAGGGCAGTCCTCCTGGAGCTAGTCAGTGGTGCGTTAACATATAGGTATAGATTTCCTTCGTTTTTAAACACCAGACGCCCTCCTCCCAATTTCCTCCTTCTCTGGGTACAAGGTACAAATCCTTTCCTGTCGGCGTATGGGGAGCTGGCTGGCTCTTTTTTGCCACTGTCCAGTGTTCTGGCACCCGCATATTCCTGTAAGGGAATTTATTAAACTCTTCTATTTGTGGACACTGAAGTCACTGCCCCATTTAGAATGATGGTGCCTCAAATGTTCTTGCACAGAAGCAAATATCCCTGAGGGATAAAGTGGTACCAGTCAAACTGTAGGGCCCAAGGGTGCGTGTGATTGAAATTTTGATCAATGTCTCCAAAGTGCCTTCTAAAGAGAGTATGTGTACAACCATTTAGGAGCTGGGGGTATTTCATTTTGTGTTTAGAGAAGGGAGAGAGACACAGAGGCAGACATTGATTTGTCGTTCCACTTACTTAGGCATTCTTTGGTTGCTTCTTGTATGTGACCTGCCTGGCCATCAAACCCGTGACCGTGGTATATCAGGACAACACTCTAACCAACTGAGATACCCAGCCAGGGCCAAGGAGCTGTTTTAAAGATAAAGCCTGGGTTTGCACCTAGCTCAGATCTGTGGAATTAAAAGCTCTGGGGTGGAGTGTAGGCACCCATCTTTTTTTAAAACCACCAGAGTGAAGTCAGCTGCACCCCCTGGTTAAGAAACTCTGGTCTTGAAGCTCAAAAATGGGTGGGATTGGGTGTAACAAAAGCAGAAGTGGTCAGGGCTGAAGGCCTTGAGGGGAAATGCCTCCGACCCTCTGCAGAGCCCAGTTGATGGGTCCCAGACTGCCTGCTCCCTGGCTGGATGACAGGCTCCAGCCTGGCAGAGCCCTTGCAAAACCAGGATGCAGCATGGCTTTAGGGACCACAGCTTCAGTGACAGCTTCGGTTATGTCTTGCAAATGTGCTACCCGTGACAGTTTTGTAATGAAGGCAGGAAACAAATTTGAGCAAGTGCCTGCACAAATGCATTGTGAGCGGGCTTCATGGGGTAACGGCTGACAGCTGGGAGGGAGTGCCCGCTAGAAGGCACTGCCCATGTGCTTTGCCCGTACCCAGCCTGAGATCCCCACCAGGCCTGCAGGAGCCCCATTCCTCACCTGGGAGAGGGAGATCCTATCTGCCTGCCTGTAGGGCAAAGTCATTGTGTAGACAAGAATCAAGTAGGGGAAAGGACGGAAGTCACTCTGTGGTCTGAGGGGAGCCTCTGTACTGCAGCCCCTCCTCCTTCCTCCCCTCCCTGCTCTCCCTTCTCCCCCTCCTCTCCTCCCTCCTTTTTCCCTCCTCTCCTGTGCTCTTGGCCACCCCTACCTATTCTCCCTGAACATCATGAGAATTTGAGCCCTGGCTGGTGTGGTTCAGTGGACTGAGCACCAGCCTGTGAACTGAAAGGTCGCTGGTTCAATTCCCAGTCTGGGCACATGCCTGGGTTGCAGGCCAGGTCTCTGGTTGGGGGCCCTGTGAGAGGCAACCTATATCTCTCACACACTGATGTTTTCTCCCTCTCTTCCTCCTTTCCCGTCTCTAAAAGTAAACAAATAAAATATTTTTTAAAAAGAGAGAGAGAATTTGAAGGCACCTCCTTCCCTTGCATAAAAGGAGGAGTGGCATAGTCTGGCACCTCTCTGCTCCCCGTTCTGTTCTTGGTGAATGTAAAACATCAATTTCCAGTACTAGGTGTCTGCACCTCAGCAGCACGCAGTCCAAGCTACCAGGAGGCAGAGGGCGAGTACTAGCCATTGTGTTTATTTATCGTGCTCATCCTTTAAAAGTTCCTAGTTGGATTTTTTGGTTCACTTTTGTACCAAGCATACCAGGATAGAACAACTATATAATGCCTCAGTCAAAAGACAAGCTAAGTCGAGGCCTGCGCTCTCCCCTGCTTTCTCCTGATTGGAGTTATGCTGCACGAAACTAGGAGGCCACTGGTTTTCAGGATTGAGATGAGCTTAAAGAGGGGGGCTTGGTGAGGAGTGTAGGAAGAGAGCAAATGACTCCAGATCAATGAAGGGGCTTTGCTGTCACCACTTCTTGTAGTATTTTCACATCAAATAAACCCCTCCAGAGTTGATCCGTATGTGCGTAGGTTTTCCCTGTTGGTGGGACATTTCTTCTTTGTGTGTTCCTGTGCCGCATTGTGGGGCACTCCACATGGCGGTGGAGACAGCACCCTGGGGTCAGGCCTGAGCCCCACTGCCCACCTCTCAGCACGTGGCTCTGGATGGGATTCTCACCCCTTCTTGCCCATCAAGCCAAAGGTGGAGGTAGTGCCTTCCCCTGGCCCTGCTCACACTAGATGTTGAGTAAATATCACCATCATCACTGGGGTCAGTTTTCCATATTTCTCTGTCACTTTCATTTCTCTTTTTTCACCATGGTGACATCCCACCTGATCAGTATCCCACATTGTGGAACTGTTCCCAGGTGGAGGGCAAGGCTCCATGTCTGCACAGGGCCATGTGGGAGTTGGCTCTTATTTATCCTCGGGAAGGTTCCGGCTGCAGCTTTTGAGAAAAGATCCCTCATTGATAATAAAGCCCAGATTCAGCAGAGAACGTTATGCCTCATCTAGCCAGAGTGCATTGGCCTTTGGAGCTTGGGGACAGCAGGGCTAGCAGTTTCCGGGTGGCCTGAGACTGTTATGGGAGAAACTCAGGCATGGACCCAGGGGACAGCAGGTACCTCAGGGCAGAGTAGCTGGGGAGCTGCTTACTGACCACTGAGAGGCTCTAGTCAAATCCACTGAAGAATGTGCCCCCACTTCTGTAAGAATGAAAAATCAAACCCATCGTCAGTAGGGGACGGGGGGGGGGGGGAATGCCACTGGGCTGCTCTGCAGTAGAAACAAAGTCCGCCCATGTGAACCAAATTAGAAAATCCCCAGCGGGGAAAAGATGCATGATATGAACCCACTTGCGTATGTATTTAAAACTCTCTTTCTCTGTGCATATGGATGTGTATGCAAATGTGCAGAAGGATCTGGAACACTGTTAGTCACACTTGGAGGGGGGCAAGTGGAATCACTGGGGGATCAGAGTGTTACTTAGTTACACTTAAACTTTTATAAAAATACATGTTCATGTACTACCTGCTTGATAAAAGTAAGATTTTAAGAACATTTAAAACACATGCACACAAAATGAAACTGTATGGTCACGAATAAAGATAGATTTGGGGTCAAAAAGACCTAGTTGTGACATCTCCTGCACCACATCCTGTGCATGTGACTTGAGTGAATGAGTTACCTTCTTAGGTGTAGACCAGGGAGCCTGGGGACATTGTCACAACTAAGGAGATGCTGGTGGAGGTCCGGGATGCTGTTCGACACTCCACAGAATCCAGGGCAACCCCTACAGATAATGGCCTGGCCCAGGGTTCCCAGTGCCAAGGGGGACACCCTGTAGAGTAAGCAGTAGTGTCCTTCACAGAGATGCTTTGCGTTAACTCCTGAGACCCTGGCCTGACTCCTGGCCCACCATAGCCTCCCTGGAGGTGTCCCCTGCAAGTCCTTACTCAGTGAGTGTCACGCACCTCTGTGAAAATTCGGAATGAAAGGACCTGTGTTAAGGAACAGGGATTACAGTTTAAAAATTTTTTTTAATTCTTTTAAGGTTGATTGATAAAACAAGAAATGAGAAGAATAGAAGGAATTTCCATCTCGCCCTGCAGGTAGAGCGGAGTGGGCTGGGCACCCTGGTCAGAGGAGGCTCACCTTCCTGGGTCCCTCCTCGGCCACACCCACCCTCTACAAATTTGGGTCCCTTACTTGTTGACAGAGTCACACACATTCTTAAGGCTTCAGAGTGCATTGGGTTTTCTGGATCTCTCCATCACGAGCACAGCTGTAGTGCCAGAGAGGGGAGACCTGGGCATCTCAGAGGCTTCTCCTCACCCCCAAGGGAAGCAGATGGTACCCCAAAGAAGTGGCACCTGTGGGGCTCCTAGAGCAGTGCAGTAGAGGGGACGCAGGCTCTGGGGCCACCTGTCCGCCAGTTCAAATTCTGGCCTCGCTTAACCTCTGAGCCTAGGCTCCACTCTCCTCTCTGGAGCGCAGAGGAGAATACGGCAGGCTCTGGCCCGTGGTTGGAATTTGGCCACGTCCACCTAAAGTCCTAGGGGGCCTGGCAGGCGTATCCTCAGAGCCCCACCTCTGAGGAGGCATCCAGCCAGCGCTAGCAACACCCTGAGTTTTGGTCTCCAGATTTGTTGCCAGGCAGCCTTGCACAAGACTGTTATTTCTGTTATTTCCTCATTGTCAGGTGGATTAGGGGCTACGCCCAGGGTGCGGTAGGGAGGATCAACTGGGATGACCTGTGTCAGGTCCTTTACAGGACAATCCCCTGCATGAGGGTGGCAAGTACAGAACAAGACCTAAGGAAAGGGGCAGAGCTATCATCCCCAGGTGTTCTCTGTGCCCCTGAGACAGCAGGTCCCTTCCTAACTAAGTGGGGGGTGTGGCAGGGGAAAGGCCAGTCTGCTTAGCTGCTTTTCTCCTATGGTGGGCACTTGTGGGCATCACCTTTGCTTTTAGTCCCTGTCCCACTGGGGCTGTGACAAGAACCCAGAAGTAAATAGGTCTATCTCATACGCCCTTGAGGTGGTTTCAGTTGCAGGCCTGGTGGCTGGGCCTGCTGCTGTCGTGGCAACCTCAGGATGGCTGAGTCACAAGGAACACGCAGGTACTCTTTCCACTTCTGCACTAGATGTGCCGTCCTGAGGCCAAGGGGTGCCTTTAGTTGTGGTCTGGCCCCTGTTTCCCATGGAGAAAGTCAGGCATCAGCTCTCCGGGCACCAGGGAAATGCTGCGTCTCTATACCTGTCACTTGAGTGTCCCTCTGGGATTCGTCTCTGCAGCAGCCCCACCCGGCCACCTGCTCAAAGCACTTGCTTTCTCTCTCCTGTGCTGCCCCCAGGACGGTGGCTCTCTGGACCAGGTATTGAAAGAAGCCAAGAGAATTCCAGAAGAGATCCTGGGGAAGGTCAGCATTGCGGTGAGTGTGCAGGCACCACTCCCCTGGCCAGCACAGCACTGGGAGTGGGCATACGCTCCTAGCCCCATGCTAGGCTGCTTTATTCTTGTTCCTGCCCTCTCCACGAGGCTGGTGGTATGTGTCACCTCACCTCCTGCAAAGAGAGAGAGTGCTGACGCCAGTCTCCACCAGCTGTGGTACTGAACAGGGGCATCCCTTTGCCCATAAAATAGGAACAATGCTTTCCTGCCCCATATAGGTGCCAGGACCCTGGTGGTGTGGTACCAGGCACCTGGCATCCCCCAGAGCAATATCTTGAGTGTTTCCTCTCTGACTTGGTGACAGGGCCGCCACACCCTTTACCCAGTCAGTCTGGGGAAGGTCCTCAGCACAGCCTTGGCACCACAGCACTCGACAGATGACGCGTATTGGGTGGGTCCAGCTTGTGAGGCAGGGTGGCTAGCCGGACACGCACAGCCTAACTAATAGTGTGTCAGGCCTTGTCTCAGCTTCTGTGGGCCTCAGCCCTCCCTGGAGACGGAGGAGATGGCAGTGGCTGCCACATGGGTGGATGAGTAGGTGGGTGGCCGTGTGAGAATCAGTGAAGTCGGCATCTATACCCACCAGTGCGGGTGGCACTGCCATCACTTTGCTTCTTCTCTTGCTTGTCTGTCTGAAAATGAGTTTCCTGAGCTGGTCCACGCTCTGTTGCCGCTCAGATCTGGCCCATAGGCCTGTCCAAGGAGGCTTCCCCACATGGTGCTTGCCCTGCTGACCTCCTACCCTGTGGCTCCCTGGCAGGTTCTCCGGGGCCTGGCATATCTCCGGGAAAAGCACCAAATTATGCACCGAGGTAAGATGCACAGGAACCCCTCCCGCACCGCTGGAGCCAGTGGGTGGGGCCTGAGCCACACCTCACCCACTGGCTCTGCCCTCAGATGTGAAACCATCTAACATCCTCGTCAACTCCCGAGGAGAGATCAAGCTGTGTGATTTTGGGGTGAGCGGGCAGCTCATCGACTCCATGGCTAACTCCTTCGTGGGAACGCGATCCTACATGTCTGTAAGTCCTCCAAGAGGCATTTTAACACTGCCCGCCATGTCTTTCTCCCTCTCCCATTGACTCTTCCCCATTTTCCAGAAGCTTTTCCAAAAGCCTGTGTGTCTTCATGATATACTTTCTTCTTTCTTTGCTGGATTTCTTCTTTGCAAAATTCTAATTTCCACCGTATTCTCCCTCAGGTTTGTCTCTGGGAATGCCTGCCTGGGTCCTTCCCACTGGTCATAGAAATCCAGTCAAGGAGAGTAGTCAGTTAATTTCTGAGCCGAGAAATTAGCCCTCGGGTATTTTAGGACACATCTGGGTGACTGTTGGAGCAAATTCTGAGAATTTTGTCTTGGAATTTTTTTTAAAAAGACTCTAGTCTTGAAATTTCTGTCTTTCTTGGGCCAGTCATCCTTTTCCAAAAGTGCCAAGGGTTTGTGTGGGGTTTAAAGGGCTGCTTCCAGTCCTGGATGGAAGCTTCTGTCTCCCAAGGTGGGTGGAGGGGGAAACAGAATTGCTCTGGTCTCTGGAGGGGTGGCAGCGGTCAGGATGGGGTTGTGAGGGAGCAGTAGAGAGACACTCAGATGCAACCCCGGCCCAGTGAGCCACCTCAGGTTGCAGTGTTCACCTGTCTCCCTCTGGACCTTTCTTTCCTCTGTCTTACCCGACAGCCGGAGCGGTTGCAAGGCACTCACTACTCGGTGCAGTCGGACATCTGGAGCATGGGCCTGTCCCTGGTAGAGTTGTCCATCGGAAGGTACCCCATCCCCCCGCCGGATACCAAGGAGCTGGAGGCCATATTTGGCCGGCCCATGGTTGATGGGGCAGAAGGAGAGCCTCACAGCATCTCACCGCGCCCAAGACCCCCCGGACGCCCCATCAGTGGTACGGCCTAAGTCTGGCCCTTCCAGTTTGGATGGGCAGTGACCTGTGCAGGGAATGCCATGTTGGAAGATGGCAGCTGCCTCTCCTCTGGCCCCTCTTGGCACCACCTGTCCCCTGGGTCATGCTAACTGTGGTCAGCAGTCCTCAGATGGTCCCGAGGCTTCTAGGGACGTGCTGGAAGCAGCGCCCCTGACCTGTGCCATCCGGGACAGCTGCACCTGTTGTCACCAGCTGGTGGGATCTAGAAACCAACCCCTCAGCCAAGCCACTGGTTGGGTTGGTTTTTTTCAACATTTTATCACAAAAATATCCAAGCATACAGAAAGGCCAAAAGGCCGGTGGATGTCTGTATGCCCACTGCCCAGCCGCTGCCCCGAACGTTCTGCTGTGTTTGGGCCAGGCCTTCCTGGAAGACCCAAAATTGAAGGGAACCTGACTCAGAATTTCCTTGGATGGTTTGTTGGACACACAGGCAGCACAGCAAGGGAAGGGACAGGAGGCTGGGGGGCCACTGGGCTCCCAAACAGTTCTTGGTGGTTACCTAGGAGGCAGTGGGCTAAGGGGTGCAGGCTGATGCTTCCATCACTTTGAAGGAGGGACAAGGGGGTGGGACACAGATAAGGTGGTAACCTGGGAACAGCACTTGACAGGAAGGGAGTCGAGTTCAATGAGAGTCCAAAAGCACATGCAATGGACTGTGCTCAGTTGGTTTCATAACAGTTTTATTGAGATAGAATTCAGTAGCATATGATTCCCTCTTTTCAAGCATATAGTTATATAACTCAGTGGATTTTGATATCTTCATTAGTTATCCAACCATCACCTCTATCTAATTCCAGAACATTCCATCACCCCAAAAGGAAACCCCATTTCTACCCCCACTCCAGCCCTGGCACCCACAAGTCTACTTACTGTCTCTGAGTGTGTTCCAGACGTCTCACATAAGTGGAGTCATGCAGTGTATGAGCCTTTATGTTTGGCTTTTTTCACTGGGCATTGTATTTTCATTCTTTCGTTTTTAAGATTTTACTTATTTATTTTTAGAGAAAGGGGAAGAAAGAGAGGAAGAGACATTGATCAGATGCCTCTTGTCCTGACCAGGAATTGAACCAGCGACCTTTCAGTTTTGCAGACCAATGCTCAATCCACTCAGCCACATTGCCGGGGCGAGTGTCTTGTTTTCAGGGTTCATCCATGTTGTAGCAAGTGTCAGTGCTTTATTCCTTTTAAAAATACATATATATTTTTTAAAGATTTTATTTATTATTTTTAGAGGGGAAGGGAGGGAGAAAGAGAGGGAGATAAACGTCAGTGTGGTTGCCTCTCATGCAGCCCCCACTGGAGACCTGGCCTACAACCCAGGCATGTGCCCTGACTGGGAATCAAACTGGTGACCCATTGGTTCGCAGGCTGGTGTTCAATCCACTGAGCCACACCAGCCAAGACAGTGCTTCCCTCCTTTTCATGGCCAAATAAGATTCCTTTGTATGGATGGACCATGTTTTGTGTCCGTTCACCATTAAGGGACGGACACTGTCAGATGATGATGTTCACAGTATTTTCAGATCCCGACTTTCCCCTTTACTGGGGCCACAGTCAGACTGCCAGGGTGTTTTGATTTCCTCTACAGGAGAATCTTGCCCCCATCGGTGTCCTCAGGCTTTGCCTCTGTGCCTCCCAGTCCAACTCCCTAATGGCCTCCTTGGTGTTCTTCTCCAGCCCCTTCCCAGCTGAGAGAAGTGGGTCACGCTCAGCCTCCTTGGCCTGCCAGCACCTCCTCCAGCCCTTGTGCTCATTTCAGGACAGGACAGAAGGCAAAAGTCCAAATGCCAAACCCAGACCTCGCCAGCTGAGTCTAGGACAGGTCAGCTACCCCCAGCCCACCACTCATCCTGGGGTGTGTCTGAGGCTATTGGCTGTCTACACCTGAAGCTCCATATGAGGCCACACGACTTACAGTCAGCAAGCCACCACCACCGCACCCTGCACCTTTGTGCCGCTGAGCACAAGGTTGTGACGTTGGCACCACCTGGACACAGCGCCATGCCAAATGTCTGACTGCTCAGGCAATGCTCCTGTTCATTTTGGTGCTTTATTTTGTTTTTTAATTCATTAGGAGTGAAGTTACTTTCCTAGAAAGTAAACTTAGTAGCCAGGCCAGGGGAGCCTTCCCCAGTTCAGGCCAGTGTGGGCAGAAGAGTACCTGGCTTATTCCACATGCTCAGACCTTAATGCCCAGCGGAAAGACACTGGCCACTTGCCCATCTCACCCCCATTTCTGTTTCTCCCCTGCGCAGGTCATGGGATGGACAGCCGGCCAGCTATGGCTATCTTCGAACTGCTGGACTATATTGTGAATGAGGTGGGTACTATAAAGCATGTCTTCATGCTGACAGAATGACGCTGTTCCTACGGGAATGCATTCCCAAAAAGAGGAGGACATATAGACTAGATTTTGTTGGGGAAGGGTCCGTGGAGAGAGTCAGAGACCGTTTTCTTTCTTTCTTTCTTTTTTTTTTTTTTTTTTTTAACAAGATTTTATTTATTTTTAGAGAGGGGAAGGGAGGTAGAAACATCAATGTGTGGTTGCCTCTTGTGTGCCCCGAGCTGGGCACCTGGCCTGCAACCCAGGCATGTGCCCAGACTGGGAATCGAATCTGCTACCCTTTGGTTCGTAAGCCAGGACTCAGTCCACTGAGCCACACCAGCCAGAGTGGAGACGTTCTTTTTCAATAGAAGGTTATCAGGTGTAAAAATGCATGGCCTTACTTCTGGCCATACTGCAGAGATCCATCCCTCCCCGAGGGACATGTTTTTGTGTTCATAGAGATGAAGCTCGAATTCCCACTGCAGCCCCCTCCAAGGCCAGTACCAAGGGTTTGGGCCAAGGAGCTGGGCTGCTCCCAGATCGCTGTCACCCAGCATCTCTTTCTCTGAGCCCCTTGGAGTCTGGGTATAAAGAGTCCCACTTCCTTGGGGAAAGTCAGGGTGTCCCCTCCTCTCTGGGAAGGAGGCACAGAACACCTAGAAAGGTGGTGTGAATAGTCCCATTGTACTGACAAGTAAACCAAGGCCTAAAGATGGAAGCAGCCCCCTTAGAGGTCTGCACCTGGGAAGGGGTAGCTCAGGGCCTGACCCTGAAGCCTCCCTCTTGGCGAGGTCTGGTCATCTCCCTCGGGCTGCTGGGCTGACCTGTGTTTTCAGTGGCCCTCTGAGCCAGGGCAGAGAAATAGGGCGGCCAGGCTGCCTGTGGTGGGGGGCTTGGCCTAGGGCTGAGTGTCAAGGCAAGCCTTCAGTGGAGACAGAACAGGGCGGGGTAACTGGCGACACAGCTCTGCCTGTACCTGACAGTGCCATCCAGTGAGCACCTCCCACCCTGAGTGGGACAGCTGGGTCCTGGGACTGAGGAGGAGGCCCTGTGGGTTTCACTCGGATGGTCTCTGCCCACCGCCTCTCGGACAGGGGCCTGACCCTGCCCATGACTGTCCCCACCCTGGGACGTGTGTGGCAGGCCAGGCTCCTTAGGCTTCCCCAGCTTTCAGGCCCAAAACCCTGTAACTAGCTGTCCTCTTGGTTCAGACCCACATCTCATTCAAGACACCCACAGACCATGGCTGGTGCAGCTCACTTAGCTGTAGAGTCATCTTGTAGACCAAATGTCACGGGTTCAATTCCTAGTGAGGGCACATGCCCAAGCTGAGGGTTTGACTCCCTGGTCAGGGGCCTACAGGAAGGCAACCAATAGGTGTTTCTCTTTTACATCAGTGTGTCTCTGTCTCTCTCTCTCTGCCCCCCCCCCACCTCCCCTGCTATCTCTCCATACCTTCCTTTCCCCTTTCTCTAGAAGAATAAAAAATAATTTTCTTGGGTGAGAATTAAAAAAAAAAAAAAGACACCCACAGAGGTGGGCGGCTCAGACAGTGTAAGAGCACTCTCATCTGTAAAATGAGGGGGGCCCTTCTCTCCTTCGCTGTGGAACCAGTGTGACCCCCAAATGAGAGCTTTCCAAAGAAAACCCTGGGAGAGTCCAATCTGGCTGCCAGAGCTGGTATCCTGCCGGGAAGCTGCTGGCAGAGGAGATGGGTGCCCCCTCCACCTCTAGCAGGGTGAAGGGGCAGTGCTGGGAGAGGTGTGTCCTGAGGGTCCCTGAGTGCCATGCTGCCCTCACGCACAGCGCTGGGAAGTCCACTCTGCAACCCTAGGGTCATCGTGGGCATCTGACTCCCGCCTGTCTGTTCTCTCCCACAGCCTCCTCCTAAGCTGCCCAGTGGTGTCTTCACCCAAGACTTCCAGGAGTTTGTGAATAAATGGTGAGGTGCCACAGCCTCCAGTGCAGTCTTGGGTGGGCAGGGCTGGGTGCCAGGCCCTCAAGTTCACCTGCCTCCTGGAATGGGCAGGCCACCAACACTCCCAGCCATCAACCTAGATGTGCCCTTCCTTACCGGCCCCCACCCAGGCCCCTCTTCCAAGCCTACTACTCAGGACTGCTGGGTGGATGGCAGCATCCGGTGGGACACCTGTGGTCACCTGAGAGCCCAGATTCCCTTTCCAAGGCTGCTAAGTCACTGTGTTCAGCTGCCATCCCCACCTCATCCCTCCTCCTGGAGTGAACCGGCATCACGGGCACTTTGGAAGTAAAGCTGTTCTCACCTTCTTCGAGCACACTCCCCTAGACCCTCAAGTCCTGCTGCCCACCAGCTTCTAAACAAGCCTTTCTAGCCAGATTCTGGGAAGTGGTCATCTGTTCTGGGTGATCCCACCCTCTGAAAAGGGCCTTGGGCCAGAGACCAGGAGGGAGGGGCCAGGGTCACCCCACTTACCTTTAGAGCCATCCAGCCTGCCAGGGCTGGCTGCCATCTGGGGACTGCATAACTCGCAGCTGCAAACCTACCAGGGGGTGAAGGTGCTACTGGCCTTTGGTATGACCTCTGGCCAATGCCGTGTGGGCCAGATCCAGTTATCCTTTATCCTTGTGAACATTGTTATATCCATGCAAGGTTTTCTCTGTGTTTGAAGAACTACCATTCACCACAAGCTGCTTTGAGCAGCTGTGTTTAGGCAGTTCTGCTTTTCTGGAGGAAAAAGTTCCATTTTGATGATCGGACTCCCAGGCTTGGGGGTTTTACTGGAAACGGAGCTGTGGCTGCTGCTGGGCCTCTGACTTAGCAGCAGCTGGGGGTTTCCCCACCTTCGTCCCCTTTCCGTCTTGTCCTGGCTTCAGACCCCTGCCCTTCCCTGCCCAAGGCGTCCTGCCCTTACACCACAGGGCAGTGCTGGAGCCCTCGCCCCTGGCGACTAGGCAGCAGAGTGACAGCAAGTCCCATGGCCAAAAAATAACTGCTCTGTCTTGTCTCCCCATGCTCCATCTTGTCCCACCTCATGGAACGCCCAGCCTCATTAAGAACCCAGCCGAGCGAGCAGATCTGAAGATGCTCATGGTGAGTGATGCAGATTTTGGGATCACTGGGGGCGCAGGCTGCCACCCAGGGCTCCCAGGAAAGGAAAACCCTGGCCAGGCCTCCTGACCTAGCTTTTGTCTTGGGGTGCTGGAGGACCCCTGTGAGCTCCTTGTCCACAGTGGGAATGATCCAGAGCGGTCTCTGCCCTCTCAGCCCTTAGGGGAACATAAGGACTTGAGCCATGCCTGGGTGGGATTGTTTCTGGAAAATGATGGGCTCTAAGTCCCCTGGGCCACTGTGGGCTTGTCAAGTCTCCCGCAGGTCAGGGAGGTCATAGAGTTGGTGCCTTCCTTTCATGTCCCATGCCATTCAATGTCCTTGAAAACCAAGGTGGCCACTGAAACTCACCTTCCCCTCTCAAGACCTTTGCACAGGATTCTGCTTCTCCCTAGGGGATGCTTCCTGTCCCTCTTCAGGCTTGCCTGCAGCACCTCCTCTGAGAAGGCCTGGCACCTCGTCTAATCCCACTGTGCTATTAGTTGTGGCGACAGACGATGTCCCGGTTGTAGTCACTGTTTGCCATGGTCAGGATAGGAAGCCTAACCAGGAGCACTGTATGGGAAGGGTGTGCGTGATACAGGAAACCCACGGCCACTCTAAAAGATGCAAACACGAAATAGAGAAACACGTTTATCTTTAAATCCCTGCTAGTGCTTAGTGCTTCTCCCTCCCCAGCTTTCCCATTCGCACTGTGCAGGGCAGCCTTCCAGGTCTTTCTGTGCCTGAGGAAGACTCGTGGCTGTTGGGGGCTAACTTTGCACCACTGCTCCTGTTGCTCTAGAGACCACAGGAGTTCTGTTCCCTTGTTTGGCTTTTCACCCAAACCTGGACCAACCTTCAGGAAGACGAGGGTGGTCTTGCCTGCCCCCAGCTTACATAAGACGCGGGCAGCAGTTGGGGCCCTGGCAAGGTGCCTCAGCTGATTGGAGCATCATCCCATACACCAAAAGGTTATGGGTTTGATTCCCAGTCTGGGCACATAACTAGGTTATAGGTTCTGTATCCAGTCAACTGAATGGGAGGCAACTGATCAGTCTTTCTCTCTTTCTCTCTTTCTCTCTGCCTATCTCTCTAAAAAGTATATCCTCGGGTGAGGATTTTTTATTTATTTTGTAAAGATTTTATTTATGTATTTTTAGACAGGGGAAGAGTGGAAGAAAGAGAGGGAGAGAAACATCGATCAATGTGTGGTTGCGTCTCATGTGTCCCCTAGTGGAGACCTGGCCCACAACCCAGGCATGTGCCCTGACTGGGAATCAAACCAGTGACCGTATGGTTTGCAGGCCGATGTTTAACCCACTGAGCCACACCAGCCAGAGCAGGATTTATTTTATTTATTCATTCATTCATTCATTCATTCATTTTTAGAGGGAATTTTTTTTTAACATTTACTGTGCATTCACAGTGTCTTTTTTTTTTTTTTTTAAGACTTTTTATTTATTTATTTTTAGAGAGGGAAGGGAAGGAGAAAGAGAAACATCAATGTGCGGTTGCTGGGGGCCATGGACTGCAACCCAACATGTGCCGTGACTGGGAATGGAACCTGCGACACTTTGGTTCGCAGCCCGCGCTCAATCCACTGAGCTATGCCAGCCAGGGGGATTTTTAAAAAATAAATTAAAAAATACAGGTAGCAGTCGGGGTCTTGATGTCACATGGGAAGACTAGACCCCTCCATGGACTCCAGGGCCCTGCCCTCCTGCCCTGGGCTGCCCCTCAGGTTCACCCTGGTCAGAGAAGCCTCCATTCACCCTACCCAGCCCAGAACCAGAAAGGTCTAGTGTTCTGCTGTTCCTGCTGGGACCCCCAGCCATGGGTGGCTATCTAAATTAAATTACTTAAAACAAATGGATGCACAAACCTGTCTTTCAGCCTCACCAGCCATATTGAAAGGTCCCAGGAGCCTTTTGTGGCTGGGGGCAGCCATACTGGATGGGACTTGCAAGAACTTGTGTCCTCACAGGCAGTTCCGTTCCAGATCATATGGTCTCATCTGGAGCGACTCTGCCTGCAGGGGGTACTAGGTCATGTCTGTTGACATCTGTGGTCATCACGACTAGGGATACTCCTGTCATTGAGTGGGTGGGGGCCAGACATGCTGGTTGCCATTTCAAAGTACCCAGGGCAGCCCCCCACAGGGACTCACCCGGCCCCAGTGTCAGTAGTACTGAGGCAGAGACACGGGTTCCAGGGGGCTTGTGGCAGCCTCCTTTTCCCCAGAGACCCTGTGCTACATCCGGGTGGCTTCGGGCACGGCACCTCCCTGCTCTGGGTTTGCTTTCTCTCCCAGTCCCGAGTGTGTCCCCCTGCGCTGGAGGACTTTTCTCTTTTGGTTTTGGGGTTTTAGTCGGGTGGCCTGCCAGGTCTGAGCAGAAGCCTGGTCTCTTCCCCCTCCCTGCAGACACCCGGCTGTTCACAACACCTCTTCTTCCCTTTCAGAACCATGGCTTCATCAAACGGTCCGAGGTGGAAGAAGTGGATTTTGCTGGCTGGTTGTGTAAAACGCTGCGTCTGAACCAGCCCAGCACGCCTACGCGTACTGCTGTGTGATGGGTCCAGCAGGCGACCTGTCCGAGTCCCGTCTACTTGCCCTTCCCGCCCAGGACAGACTGGCTCCTCCCCTCCCTCTCCTGCCGAGCCTGGAGGAGACGACATGCACAGGCACAGGCGGCACATTCACTTCCTCTTCCACCTGTCCCGGCCGAGGGCCCTCTGCTCTCTGGGGAAGGGTGACACTGCCCATGTTGTCTCTCAGAACCTGCTTACCTAGGTTTAAAAACACAAAACAAAACAGGGAAAGAAAAAGCAAACCAAGCCCATTGTACTTGTTCCATTTGTTCTTTGGGTGTCAGCCTCCGGTCCCACCCCAGGAAGAGCAGCATCCCTTGAAGCAGCCCTCGCCTCCAGCCAACCAGGCCACAGAGAAATTGGGGTCGGGTGGCGTCAGGAACTGGCTTTGCCCTTTTTGCAAAGGGATGAAGCCTCAGAGGGAACCCCAGGACATTGGCATGTTTCAACAAAACAGGAAGCACTGCCTTGCATTTCTGTGTGTCATCCCCTTGCCTGACACCTGCCCCCTGAAAGGTGCTCCTCGGCAGCCCCAAAGAACGGCCAGCCGGTTGGTTGTCATGAGGTCCACTTTCCCCCGGCCACTGCCGCCTCCTGTCATGCAGCCTGGAACAGGCAACCCTGCCTGTTGTCAGCAGAGTGGCCTGCCCCAAAGGGGTCCTGGTCCTCTCCTGTGCCTTAGGAGCAGTCAGTTCAAGCCTTCACAGTGGCAGCCGAGCTGCCACTCGACTCAGTGGAAAGGAAGTGTTGGGTTTCCAAGCTGTTGGTGTGGTTGAAACCCCCAGCCGATCCAGTAGATAAGGCCTGTGCTCCCCTCGCCTGCAGATGTGGGCGGGTGGCACCCTCAGTCAACTCTGCTCGCCTGGAGTGAACCAAGAGTGACCACCCAGGGCACGTCACTCTTCTGGGCCCTTGAACTGTTCTTTCGTAGCTGGCTGTAAATAAAACAGTGGCAGGAGGTTGTCCCAGTTCCCATGTCTGGTGGGGTGGCCAGCCTCTGTCTTCAGGGCTTAGACAGTAGGAAGTGGGGGAGGCCAGGCTCCCCTCCTCCAAACTGAAGATGTTAAAGCTGTCAGCCGCCCCCTCAATACTTCCTGATGGCGTGAAACAAGCTGATACTTATCTGGCGGATCTCAGGGGAAGGGCCCTCTGAGCGGGCCCTGGCCTGGTGCGATCCAAGCTGTTCCCGGCTTTCTGGAGAAGGTGCCACAGAGGGCAGGGGCTTGTGGCCCCATGGGAACTGCTAGACCCTTCTTTAGGGAGACCTGCCTAGTCACCCATGTTTTTTTCCTGTGGTCACCAAAGATAAGACTAGTTGGTTCTTTCAACCAGTTTTCCAGGGTTCCGCCACTTCATGGTTTTCCCCCCCGAGTCTCACCTGACTTAGAAAAGAAGAAAAAGGTCACCAAAAGTTAACAAAGGTGTTGCTCTGTGAGTATCCCAGCTCCCTCAGGGCTGTCCCCAGAAGGGGGAAAGGGGCCCTGACGTGGGACCTGCAGTTCAGTCTTGGCCCGAGGCTGCCTGGTGCTGGTCACAGACAGTCACATCTTTGGGCCTGCCCTGTACACCTCAGGCCCCCGTTGGTGTGGAACCAGCTGCCATTTACAAGAAGTAATAGACCACATTGATGGGGGATGGAAGGGAGCTAGGAGTGGGGTTCAGGGAGTGGAGGGGGATGGTTTGAAAGTGGGTCCCTCCATGGGCATTGACAGGTCTAGGTGCTGCCTGCAAGGCCCCCGACCTGCAACGACACAGGCCTCTCTGCACTCTATGCTGTACTGTTACTTTTGCCAGGATCCCTTGGTGCTTCTGTGAAGGTCTAGAGAGAAACAAGCTTTCTCTTCCTGCTCTGCATTAGAACCAGGCTCCTAGAAAGTGGGGATCACACCAGAGTGTGTCTAGGCCGCTGCCAGCTGGGTTTCTGGGTGTCTTGCCCCCTTTTCCCTGGGAACAACCCCAGACTTGGGCACCCTCTGATTCAACACCACAGCCACTGCAGTTCCAGCCCAGGCCTGACTGTTCCCAACTGCCTGGCCGCAGGTGGCCGAAGACCTGGGGCCTGCACCCCATCCCAACAATGTAGTCATTAAGTTCTCTGTTGCAGGAGGGCGAGCTCTTTCATAGAACTCATGACTGCCCTTGGTTTTGGGGCCTCCTGATATGTAGGGGTCCGGGCAGAAGTCATCAGGACTCTGCCCTGGTTCTCAGGAGTGAACAAGTGTTTTGTATGCCTGTGTTGAGATTCCTCATGGCTGTTCTTTAAAAACCCGGGACAGCCCTGGCTAGTGTGGATTAGTGGATTGAGTGCTAGCCTGCAAACCAAAGGGTCATTGGTTCAATTCCCAGTCAGGGCACATGCCTGGGTTGCAGGCCAGCTCCCCAGTGTGGGGCACACAAGAGGTAACCACACACTGATGTTTCCCTTTCTCTTTCCCTTCCCCTCTCTATAAATAAGTAAAATAAAAAATAAATAAAACCCTGGGACAGCCAAGTACGAGAGATGACACAACCACCGTGTTAGGGAAGGTGTGTGGACGTGGCAACACCTGTGACCCTCAGCACCCCTCTGTGTGACCTCTGTCCAAAAGTAAAAAATCGGGAAACAAATGGTGAGCTTTAGAATCTTGCATAATGGGTGTTCTTTTGTTTATTTAGTTCTACATGGGGGTTTTGGTGCTTGGTTTGCAAGAAGAAAATCTCAAGTGCGTTGTCGATGCAGGAGTGCAGCTCAGCAGCACTTTACATGGCTATTTACACTATAGCACTTTACATGTACTATCCCCTGGGTCCCCCACATGGTCCCTTTCTGTGGTGCTTGTGCCTTGCAGCCATGAGTAGTCACTGCAACAGCCCAGGGGTGATCCACGGAATGACACATCCCTCGGCTCCATTAGATGTGACAGGCTCGATCTATCCAAATAGTTGATTTATTAAGTGACGCCCCCACCACCACCACCACCTTCAGCCTGTCGAATTCTCAGACTCATTCAGCCCAGCCCCTGGATGGGTTGCATTTTCTTCTGTGAGCATCACAAATGTTACAGAGTAGGGCAGAGTGGGGCAAATCATGAGAAAAAAAGCGCTACAGAACCTGTAGGCCGATTCCAGGCTGGGGTCTCAGCAATTTCAATTTTCTAGCAATTGCAACAGGAAAAGAAACATGAAGGTAATTTGATGGTGTGCTTTATTTAACCCAACAGAGCCAAGATATAACCACTTTCACCCTGAAATCCATATGAAAACTACTATGGTATTTTATTTGTTTTTAAGAATAAGTTCTCACCTTTTTAATAAAGATTTTATTTATTTATTTATTTATTTATTTATGTATTTATTTTTAGAGAAGAGAAAGGAGGGAGAAAGAGAAGGAGAGAAACATCAATGTGTGGTTGCCTCTCCTGTTCCCCCTACTTGGGACCTGGCCTGCCACCCAGGCATGTGCCCTGACTGGGAATAGAACCAGCAACCTCTTGGCTCAGAGGCCAGCACTCAATCCACTGAGCCACACCAGCCAGGGCTGTTTTGTTTTTCTTTTTTACAAAGTTTATAATAGAGGTTTTGCCCTCACAGCACATCTCAGTTTGGACCCACCACATCTCTAGTGACATACGTTGCCGCATGTGCATCCTTTCTGCACTCTGTCTTCTCCCAGCTGTCGTTAGCCCGCAGGGTCTCAATGGGAGTAAGTCCTACCCCCTCCACCCAGGGACACTGGGTGGTATCTGGGGACATCTGTGGCTGTCACGACTTGGGGTGCTCCTGGCATCAGGTGGGTGGGGCCAGGGATGTTGCTCAACACCCCACAGTGCCGGGGATAGCTCTATATAGAAAATGGCCCGGCCCAATGTCCACAGTGCTCAGGAGAGAATGCCTGGTTTAGCCCAAAAGCCTTTTCAAATGTGATGCTGTAGGAGGACACGGTCACCCAGTGGCAGAAGTCAGCCCCTGGCTTGTGTGTGTCTGGGTCAGCCCTGCTAGAAACCACTGGGCTTTCTGTGTCTAGAGCCTAGGACACCGTGTGGCAGGAGGTTGTGGGCAGGGACAGCCCAGAACCTTCTCCAAGCTGGGCAGTTGGGAGACTGCGTTCAGCTGGCCGTGGGGGAGGAGGTGAGTGCTGAGCAGGACAGGAAGTCTTAGGTCGGGGAGACAGAACTGGGCCTCCCTCTCCGGCTCTGCACTCGCAGGTTAACAGGGTTCAGAGGAAGCTGTGACAGAGTTTCCCAGAAAGCTGGGTCTGAGGTGGAGTGGGTGTGAGGAAGGGGAACAGAGTCCAAAGCCAGTGGGGCCTTCAGCCCCCCACCCTGCACCTCTGGGCTGATAGCTGACCAGGTGTATGAGCTGGGCCCAGGCAGGCCACCTGAGGCTGGAGGCCAAACCTTGAACCACAGGCCAGGTAGGTGGAGGACCTGCTTGTTCTGCAGTCCCCATGGAAACAACAGGGAGGCTCTGGAGGAGGAAGGAGGTTGGAAGGGAGAGGCCTGGGCCTCATGGCAGCCTGAACGGAGGCCTGAGTTTCAGGTTTCTGCCTGGGCTTCCCAAGGGACAGAGGGAGGCCCAGAGAGAAGCACCTGAAGAGCCAGAGAGAGGCCTCAGGTGAGAGAGGGACTCAGCCAAAAGCCCCATCTCCTCCCCCATGTTACCCACCCCAGGCAGCAGGAGCTGGGAGCTAGGCTGCCTGGACTAGCATCACAGTCACCCCCTGGCTCTGCAGCTTCAGGGAAGTCACACCCCTGTGGGCATCAGCTCCCTGCTCTGCCAAAGAGGTTATCACAGACTAAAGGGGAAGGCTGGCGTTTGCCGTCCTCCCAGTAGTGGCCTCCCCCATTACTCAGATCTCCTCCCCTCTTCTGTGGGGACCCAGGGTGGGGTAGGGGCTGCCCAGGGGTCCTTGGGGAGAAGGAGAGGGAGGGGGAGGGACAAGTCTTTCACTTACTATTGCCTTCCTGTCTTTGCACCTGCTATTCCCAGTTGTAGAAGGTACTCTCTTGCATTCTACTGCAATTCCTGTTCAAAACTCAGGCTCAGGACAAACGTTCTCCCCTTCGAAATGCCAAGGTAAGCCCTCATCACAGCTACTGCTCTAACTTTCCCCCATAGTCTTAGTGTCATGGCCTTAAACTTGGTGGTGGCTCTTCAACATGATACAGAGGCGTAAGCAGCAAATGAGAAAAACGGTGAACTTGGACTTAGTCAAAATTTAAAACTTGGGTGTGCCCTGACTGGTGTGGCTCAGTGGATTGAGTGCC